TGCTTCTCTCTCTCTCTCTCTCTTTCTCTCTCTGACTCTCATGAATAAATAAATAAAACATTAAAAAAAAAAAAAAAGAAGAAAGTGGGCTCAGATCCAATCCAAAGCACAGACTTTACCATCTGACCCTTTAATTTCTCATTTCTTTTATAACTTACTGATAAATAAGTTCATCATTTAGTACAGAGGTCAACTTTCATTTTCATATTTGCCTAATAAATGCAGGTGTGCGACTCAAGGAAGGCTGTAATATAAATAGAAGTTTATTTATTTTGGGACAAGTGATCAAGAAACTTAGTGATGGACAAGTTGGGTAAGTTTATTCCATTGTACATTTATTTATTGATGCTTATGTTTTGCGTGAGGTTGAAAATTGTAATACTTTGGTAACACTCAAATAATGTACTGATTTCTTCCCTGTATTAAAAAGCTTTTGTGATTCTGTGAGCATGCCTAGCTTCTAAGACATATGACTGTGACCTACTAAATTTACTTTTTATCTTAAATATGATATGTTAGTAGTTTTGATCTGCCTCAGGTAACCTGTAAAGAATTTTTAAACTGTAGCTAATTTAAGGTTCTGCATTAAAAACCAACCGCTGTTGTTGTATAAAAATTCTTACTGTTTTTTTCCCCAAACCCCTTTCTCACTAAGTGGTTTCATAAATTATCGAGATAGTAAATTAACACGAATTCTCCAGAATTCCTTGGGAGGAAATGCAAAGACACGTATTATCTGCACAATTACTCCAGTGTCTTTTGATGAAACCCTTACTACTCTACAGGTGAGTTTGATTTTTATTTCAATATGGGGGAAAATCATCTTTAAGCAGAAAAAATTACCCACTAAAATTAGGTATCTTTTTTTTAATGACATAGCATACCTGCTGCAATAAAACTGATGTATTGCCTACTAAATAGTATTCCTTTATTTTCCCAAATTTCAATCATTCATATCCCACCTCCATAATTTTTGCCACATCCAACACTATCATACTATTTTTCTTTAAAAAAAAAACTCACTTTTTCTACTTATTGTAGAAGGAAACTTTGTCTCAGTCCCATGAATGAAAAACTAGTATCATTTTCAACAAATATGTGTGTGTGTGTGTGTTTATAACAAAATAACTCTTGAACTCCTGCTAGCTGATTGTTGCTTGCCTTTGCTCTGAGCCTAAGGCTTACAGTTTCTGTTAAAAAAAGGAAAAATGAGAAATGTCAATAGAACAGCTGTCTCAATCAAGGATTCAGTATTATTTAATGGTCACCTTCATGGACCTACTTACAGTTACTTCTGCTACTTACACTCTAAGAAATGTTGTTCTCAATAGTTACTGAGCACTGGATCAAGGTAGTGTCAGAGAAACAAAGATAAAAGGTTCAGTCCCTGACCTCACAGTTTATAGTCTTAGAGGGAAGGTAAGACCGGTCTTCCAATGTGATTGCCTGGATTAATTAACTATTAATAAGTAGAATAGAGGGGCGCCTGGGTGGCTCAGATGGTTAAGCGTCTGCCTTTGGCTCAGGTCATGATCCCAGGGTCCTGGGATCGAGTCCCACATCGGGCTCCCTGCTCCTTGGGAGCCTGCTTCTCCCTCTGCCTCTCTCTCTCTCTGTCTCTCATGAATAAATAAATAAAATCTTAAAAAAAAAAAATAAGTAGAATAGAGTTCAGAGGAAGGAGAGATACTTTCAAGTGGAAGCAAAGCTTCAGAGTAGAGGGGGCAGCTGCACTGGACTTTGAAGGGTGGATGGGATTCCAGTAAGCCAGTGTTTGTAGGTTCTCTGTTGGCATCCATCCATCTTCAAGATATTTCCTTCGCTCTTCTGAAGACTAGAAGCCAGGGTAAGTTACAAGGACATAGAATACTCTCCATGTTCAAAAGTATTAAGCCACCGGGGAAGAGTATGGATCTTTCTTTATAAAATTTAATTATAAGAAACCTAAATATTATCAATTAAATTAATTTTTTATATTGAACACTTAACACTCTTGTATTTTTCCCCAGTTTGCCAGCACTGCCAAATATATGAAGAATACTCCTTATGTTAATGAGGTATCAAGTGATGAAGCTCTCCTGAAAAGATATAGAAAAGAAATAATGGACCTTAAGAAACAGTTAGAGGAGGTATGTATGAACCATGTATTTCAGTAAAGAATAGGGTCAGATGGAGAACTAAGATCTGCCCAAATGCCCAGAGATTCTTAATTCATCAAAACCTGAGGTCTGTAACCTAAATTTAAAACAGCTTTCAAGTAAAGAGAAATCACCTCATAAAAATTTTAGTTTAGGGGTGCCTGGATGGCTCAGTTGGTTAAGCGACTGCCTTCGGCTCAGGTCATGATCCTGGAGTCC